ATACTTCAAAAGTTTTTTTTTTTGTTTTTTTTCTCTTATTTAATTGGCCTCTCAGAGTTGGTAAGACAACTCCCACCTGTTTATGCTCTCTGTATGTGTGTATATATATCTCCTCAATATATGTTCCATTCTATATGCATCCGAAGAAGTGGGCTGTAGTCCACGAAAGCTTATGCTCTAATAAATTTGTTAGTCTCTAAGGTGCCACAAGTACTCCCGTTCTTCTTTTTGCGGATACAGACTAACACGGCTGCTACTCTGAAACCTGACTTGCTAATGACTCTTGTCTGCTTTCCCACCCTCTATTCAACAAGGGTGTTGAGCAGGAGAACTCAGATGTCTGGGGCATGGGGCCTCACACTGGGACTCTTCTCCAAGACTGTGCTTATTAGCAGGAAGGTTTCTGCGTGGAAGTTGCTGACCACTGCCAGCAGCAAGAGGGACTTGCTGCAGGGAGACAAGGGCATCTCCACCTAGCCCGAACACGGGCAGATCTCAGAACCAAAAGACTTTCAGGAGCGGTGAGGACACGGAGGGAGGGAATTGCTGTTTTTCCCCATGATCTGTAAGGATATGTCTACACTGCCCACATCACAGCTCTCCAGGTGATAAAAATAACCACCCTGAACAAGCGGTGGTAGCTTTATTGCTGGGAGCCACATGCTGTCTATACTGGCGCTTTTCAGCGCTAAAACTTTTGTCGCTCAGGGGTGTGTTTTTTCACACCCCTGAACAACTAACGTTTTAGCGCTGAAAGTGGCAGTGTAGACACAGCCTAAGTCTCATGTGCATTCTCAGTGCATTCTCTGCCTCCTTCCCCCTCCCCCCGGCCCGAAGGGGCGTGCTGCCGGCTGCTTCAGAGAGCAGCGCGGCGTTTGCAGCATCAGGAGGCAATCCCACGGGTAGGCAGAAGGGCGGGGAGGGGTGGGTCACGGGGAGCTTGGCGGCCCGCGGGCCGCGTGTTTGAGACCCCTGAGCTAGCCTGTCCTAATTGATTCTAGCAGTTTCTTAATTGGCTCCAGGTGTCTTAATTATCCTGCCTGTCTTAATTGGTTCTAGCAGGTTCCTGATTACTCTAATGCAGCCCCTGCTCTGGTCACTCAGGGAACAGAAAACTACTCATCCAGTGACCAGTATATTTGCCCTCTACCAGACTCCTGTACCCCACTGGTCTGAGTCTGTCACAGGAGATAAAGAACAAGTAAAAAATGCATTGTTCAGAAAGGCTAGAAATGCCAGATAGACACAGCTCTGAGAGAATGTTCTTACCTTTTTCTCTCTGCGTCCTACTGTCTGTCAGACAGGCCTTGGCAGTTCCAAGTGCAATCAGCCACTTTTGCCTCTCAGCTGCACTTTTGGCTTTCAGGTAGAAGTACTGTTCTCCAGGAATAATCAGATCCATCCGAGTACTATCTGCATGGTGAACTAGGAGCAACACAGATTAAAGTCACTGAATTAAAACCCTACAGTTTCTGAGTCAAAACCCTCCAGTATGGTGCATGCTTTCCCTCACACCCACCCAGCCAACCCATCCTAACTTTGCAATAGAAAAATACTGGGATTCTTGCAAATGTATGGGGAAAACTTGAGGTCAAATAATATTTGAAAGCTAGTTATCAACAGTCAAAAAACTTTCCAACTTGCCATTTTGTGACCCAGGATAGTGAATTTAATTTGTCAGCCTCTGGGGGAAGGAATGTTCCATGCCATGAAACAGGAATCCCTTCCACTTTAATAACAAAAGGGGGGAAAAAAGAGCAATGCTGAACTCTCAGTCATGTCCAGCTGGACCCATGAGGGCTACAATACAATGAGAAAGAAGTGCGAAACAAAGGGAGGGAGAGAGGAAAAAATGGAAGAGGGGAGAACATGTATGACACATATTGATGTGATTTATACTAGTGCGGGGCGGTCAGTAAAAGGGAACACTCTCTACTGTGAAAGGCAGATCTGCGGCAACCTTCTCCAACAAGTCTGTATCCCTGTCCATCTTTCAGTTTTCCTCCCTATATTTATACCTCAAAATTATTGTCACTAGTCTGCTCACTCCTAATGGATTAAGAGTTGAAGTGCGGAAGTTTGTTTACGATTTACACCGCCAGAGTGGATTGTCTTGTTTTAGATCTGTGCCAGGGAACATTTAGCTGGACCTGTGAGCCCCTACACCATGGCTCACAAAAGAAATTAAAGTGTTATGCCAACATGCAGCATACCCATCATACTAGACGTTTATAGTTCTTGGAATACTTTGTTCTTTATTTAATTATTTTAAAGTTTAATAGAGGTTATATTCATGTTGTGATATGGGAGTGGAAGGAGGAGAAGAAATCATGATACAAGACATGTCAGATCACAAAAAATGATATTTAAGATCTATAAGGGAGTAAGAAATTTATTGGAAGAATTTTGTGCAACAGGTTCTGAAGTTCCTTAGTTACCTTGAATTTCACACACGGCCATTTGGATGCTTCCCTTACAACCCTTCCAGGCATCTTCCCGAGAGTCGTAATATGACAAGATACCACCACAGAGAAGAAACCATCGAGGCTGCCAGCCTGCAAAGCAAAACTGCATTTTTCAGTGATTTAATCTTTCATAGAACACACATTTCTTTAGTCCAACAACAATGTGGATTTCTTGTAACAGGTACATATGGAGAGAACAGACCACACTCAATTAGGTTTTTAAGTAAAAGCGGGGGTGGAGTTGGAGTGCTGTGAGAGACAAAAATTTTAAGAGTCATTTCTGATTTTAGGCAGCTCTCAGTAAGGTGGAGATTATTCAACACAGAAGAGCAGTTGGTTAATTGCTTCAGACCCTTGATGGCATAGAAACTCTTACTTAAATAATACATAACTTCTCATCAATACAGCCTCTAATTCACTCTGGGGCTCCTGCTACTGTTGATCATAAATAATTTCAGCTAGGCTGTTATGGGTTACAGTATTACCAGAGTCCAACTGAATTACAGCCTCTCAATCAAGGACTGTACAGTCTATGCGGCGATATGCAAAGAGTACCTGCCCACATGCTGGTTAAAATGTATTTTAAATAAACTGTATTTTAAATGTATTTAAATAAATTGTCCCCCCTACAAAAAAAGTTAGTCTTTTGCTAAATTAACATCTTATTTCTCTTTCTAACAGATGAGCAAACATAGAATGAGTCACAATTCTCACTACGTAGAACAAGCAAGCATACAGAATGCATTTTCAGAACAAAATCAGTATTAATGTATGAGAAATCAAAACTTTCAGAGCATATAGCATTTTCCAGTAACAGACTTTAATATTTAAAAGGTCCCAGTTTTTTAAAAAGTCAGATAGCAAGGATTTTGCTGGAAGATATATTAGCCACCTGGGACCCAAAGATGCTGAGCTAGGCAGCCATCAGAAGGTTATCGTGAAGGGCTGGCTAATAGTAATAAATGGCTGACAAATTGCTGATACTGCAACAGGGTATCTTTCGTTACAGGAGTTTTACATTTTGTTATGGTCACAAAACTAACCCTATAAAAATGGATCTTTTTGTGTTCTAGATTAATTTTCTCCACATAGACTTCCATATCGAGTTTGCAAGATGATTTTCCAACTCCCAGAGTACCAGAAGCTCAACCTAGGATCTGAAGAGTTAAAGCTGTGTTCCTTCTGTTTGTTAAAATTGACAACAATAAAGATTCCGGAATAAGAATTTAGGTGCACTTTCATTGATGATGCACTAGGCCTTCCAGAACATAGCTCATTCTTCCACAGCTTGAATTAGCTCTGCAGAGCTACTGGCAGTAAACGTTTGATGTTGTCGGTAAAACAAGCAGATAAAACTAAAGAGGCACTGAAAGCACAGGTCTATCAAGGGCCCAATACAACATTCACTGAGATCAGAAAGACTCCAGTTGACTTCAGTGGGCATTGGATCATGTCCCACCATATTGTACTCTTAAGTGTATTTTAAAATTAGTACCATTAGCAGTTGAACGTTTTTGTCTTATTATCCACCAGAAATATAAATGCCCTTATGTGCCTAAGAATTCAGCATTGTCTTCACATTTCCACAAGCTGGAAGGCCTGCTTGTCTACTTTTGTTTTCACACGTCAGGAAGTATGGCTGTTACTATCAAACAATCTCAGACTTGTTCAATAATAATATAGCTTAACTTTGGACACAATTCAGACTTCAATGTTGTAATGAATAAGAATCCTGAAAGTCTTGGTTCCAGATTGCTGAGACAGAGGAAAAACAGTTTGAAGACATGTAGCTCATGACAGACACACAGTGCAAATCCAGCTGGAATAATTAAATACTGGAGAATGCAGAGAAGTGGAACTGATTTCAAGTTTTCAAGAACAATTTTCAAGTACATAAAAGGTTGTTACAAGGAGGAAGATGAAAAATCGTTCTCCTTAACTGAGGACAGGACAAGATGAAATGGGTTTAAATTGCAACAAGAGCGGTTTAGGCTGGACATCAGGAAAAACTTCCCAACAGCCAAGGTAGTTAAGCACTGGAACAAATTGCCTAGGGAGGTTGTGGAATCTCTGTCATTGGAGGTTTTTAAGAACAGGTTATGCAAAAACCTATGAGGAATGGTCTAGTTCAGGGGTTTGCAAACTTCAATGCACCGCAACCCCCTTCTGACAACAAAAATTACTACACGACCCCAAGAGGGGGGATCAAAGCCTGAGCTCACCAGAGCCCCACTGCTCGGGGTGGGAGTGCCAAAGCCTGAGCCCCACCGCTAAGGGCTGGAGCCTGTAACATGAGCCCCACCGCCAAGGGCTGAAGCCTTTGGGCTTTGGCCCCAGCAAGTCTAAGCCAGCCCTGGCGACGGGTCGCGACTCACTTTGGGGTCCTGACCCGCGGTTTGAGAACCACTGGTCTATTTATTACTTAGTCCTGCCTTGAATGTAGGGGATTGGACTAGATGACCTATTGAGGTCCCTTCCAGTCCTACACTTTTTGAAAACATGCTTTGATTAAGAGATGCTAATTTGGTTGGGTTTTTAAAGATACCAAGGTAAAAGATGCTAAGATTTTTTTCAGCCACTGGATTATGAAAGTAATACTTTATTGCTTATTTACTTCTTGGCATTCAAAGCACTTTACAAACATCAGTTGTTAAACCAACTACTGAGGAAAATAAGTATTATTCTTCCTTTTTTAATCTGTAAAGGGAAAAGATGGAGACGTGCCTATGTCCTTCCAGGCTGACGATGGCCGGTGGGAAAATACTGGCCTGCTATTGGTTTAGATTGACATTGCTTCCCTAGAGCAATGGGGAAGAAAGAGTCCCAGTGACCAGCAGGTGAGCTAGTATAAGGCTCTTTCTTGATGCAGACATTCTTTCTAACTACAGACCCATATCTCGTTTCCCTCTTTTGAGAAAGCTTACTTAAGAGGGTTATAGCAGGACTACTTTGACAATTTATGGAGTACGTGGGTTTCTTTGATCTCAGTTAACCACATTTTAAGCCTACATATGGGACAGATTCTGAAGTGCCTATATTCGCCAGTGAACTCCTCCTAGCAGAAGAAGAAATTCAAATGTTCAGGCTGAGTGTTTTAGATTGGTCAGCTCCTGCTGCTACCATTGGCCGTGAAATTTTCTTGACACATTTGCAGCCCTTAGCAGGGTTGCATAGGTTACTGGAGTGGCCACCACTCCTTTATTTTTGAGGTCTCAGAGGGAAGGTACTCCTATGCGCCAAGATTTCCCATGCAGTGGACTGCACTATTTATTCCATATGATGATACCCAGTTCTATATCTCCATCACCTCTGACCTGACGGTGCAGCGAAACACATGACCAGTGTCTGAATGAGAGTCATGGCTGGATGACAGTTGTGCAAGGCTTGGTCCAGACAAGACTGAGGCAGTATTGATATATTGAAGAAAGCAACAGAAGAGCTGGCAAAGGTGGTATCAGCACTGACGTTTGGAGGAGGATCTTTGGCAATGCCACACAAGTTTATAGTCTAGGAAGTTTATTAAAGCCTGGATTGCTCCTGGATACTCAGGTGGCAGCTGTTGCCTAGAAAACATCCCCTTCTTTGCCCAAACAGGCACCTGGTGAGATCAATACTGTTGGCAGCTGATCCTCTATGTATGCAAGGAATAAGTCTTTCATTATTAACAAGTCATTTTTCATTTAGTGGAACTATGTTTAGTGGCTAACATACAGAACTAAGAATCTTCTGACTCAATTCCCAGAGCTGACACAGAATTGCTAAGACACCCTGGGCAAGAAACTTATTCTCCATGTGCCCCAGTTTTGTCATCTGTAAAGTGAGGATAATATTACAAAGCTATCTTACAGGGATGTTGCTGGGCATAAAATTCATTAATGTCTGTAAAGTGCTTTGGGATCCTCACATGGAAAGGTGGCTATCAGGATTGACAAAAATTGATTTTTAAAAATTTTAAATTAAAATCAGGTTAATTTTTTAAAAATAGGTTTATTTTTTAAAAATAAAATCTATTCAAAATTAAATTTGAAATTGATAACCTATGTTGATGTCTAAACTTATTATAATCTACTACAACCATTTAAATTATATACAAAAATGAATACAAAAATATTAAGTCGTACACGTTTGCTGCCAAGCTTTAAAGAAAGTCAAACCACCAAATTGATGGAAATCACTGGCTAAACACCTGGAAGTTGAGTTTGTTGAAGAGCTAACCAATATTTAACAGCAGTAGCCTCTTCTGCAAGTCAGAGAGAATACTTTCATCATTTTAATTTATTCAACTAGTTCAGTTGAATAAATTAAATGACCAGATGATTCATAGTTAAGAAACCAATTTGGAGTTGAAAAACCAGTTTTTCCTCTACCAATCTACGAACAGAAACTAGGGTGAAAGGTGGAGCTCCACAATGTCCATCTAGATGTTACAACTAGTAATCAGATACAAACAGTTCAATTCACTAACTGCAGATACTTTTGTTATGTAATAAATCAGTTATAGTTTTAAATGCAAAATATGTTTTGATAACCTTTTCCACTTATGTATCCAACACATTTAGTTTTATTTTTTTAAATGCTGCTTTTGTGTATTTAATTGAAATTTAATTTCTATCCAAATAGAGCTCAACACAAATTGCAAGCAAAAAATTAATCTAGTAAAAAGATAAGCTATATAATTGCTTAAATAAATTTGTATAGATATAGTGTATTCTCCTGGTTAGCAAAAAGAAACACCAAATTTAGTGTAAAAGCTATATTTAGTTGCAAATCAACATGTTTTAATGGTTACCTGACAAAATGAGCATCAACCTCTCTTTAGAAAAATAACTAAGATGCACAAATGCAAAACACGATTAAAATCAATGACTTAAATCAAGGTTGCCTGCTTGCTGATTAAAAGATTGAAATCAGTGATTTATACCACTTTGATTTAAATCAATCCCCCTAAATGCTACAGAAGTCTCTTGAATATTTGCACTAACAACAAAGGTTCTACTCTACACAGTATTTTTCAAAATCCCAATTTGCTTCATACATTATATGAAAAACATATATATTAAACATCTGCCCATACTTCTTATGAAACCAAGTTCATTCCACATGGTTGCTCATTCAGCACTATCAATAGTCACACCACTCCCATTCAAAAGAACAATTAGTCTTTAGCAAAGGAATAATTACAGATTAGATAATTTCTGGATCATTTCTTGTCTCTCTCTGAGAATCAGATTGTCCCTAGAACTAATACAAATACAAGGTTTTTCTCAACATAGGCGCTCCTACACAAGAGTGGGTCTGCTTTTTCCTTATAATCCTCTAATGCAGTGGTGGGCAACCTGAAGCCCATGGGCCACAAGGGGCCCATCAGGGTAATCTGATTGTGGGCCACGACACATTTTGCTGACGTTGACCTTCTGCAGGCATGGGCCCAATCTTACTTAACATTTTTATTAATGACCTTGGCACAAAAAGTGGCAGTGTGCAAATAAAATTTGCAGATGGCACAAAGTTGGGATGTATAGCCAATACGGAAGAGGACTGGAATATCATACAAAAAAGATCCGGATGACCTTGAAAACTGGAGTAATAGAAAGTGCAAAGTCATACACTTAGGGACTAACAAGAATTTCTGTTATAAACTGGGGACTTATCAGTCTCCCATGTTTAGGAAAGGTGAATTCAAACGGTGCAGAAAAGGGCTACTAAGATGATCCGAGGAATGGAAATCTATCTTATCAGAGGAGACTCAAAGAGCCTGACTAGTTTAGCCTACTGAAAAAAGACTAAGGGGAAATATGATTGCTCTCTATAAATACATCAGAGGGATAAATACTAGGGAGGGTGAGGAGTTATTTAAGTTAAGCCCCAATGCTGACATAAGAACAAATGGATATAAACTGGTCAGCAACAAGTATAGGCTTGACATTAGATGAAGGATTCTACCCATCAGAAGAGGGAAGTTCTGGAACAGCTTTCCAAAGGGAGCAGTGGGGGCGAAAAAACTAACTGGCTTAAAGACTGAGCTTGATACGTTTATGGAAGGGATAGCATGATGACACTGCCTACAATGGCATGTAGCCGATCTGCAACTGCCAGCATCAAATATCTCCAACACTAGACGGGAAGGGCTCTGAGTGACTACAGAGAATTCTTTCCCAGATGTCTGGCTAGTATGTCTTGCCCATATGCTCAGGGTCTAACTGATCAACATGTCTTCGGTCAGGGAGGAATTTTACCCTGGGTCAGATAGGTGAAAACCCCCCCCAGGCCCTGTCATTCTCTGCAGCATGGGGCACGGGTCACTTGCAAGTCTAATTTAGTGTAATTGATGGATTCTCTGTAACTTGAAGCCTTTAAACCATGATTTGAGGACTTCAGTAATTCAGCCAGAGGTTATGGTCTATTACAGGAGTGGGTGGGCAAGGTTCTGTGGCCTGCAGTTTGCAGGACGTCAGATTAGGAGATCATGATGGTCCCTTCTGGCCTTCAAGTCTATAAGTCTAAATTCCTGCTCCCTTTAGCTTATTTATGGTGTGGTTATGAGACTGATCTGAGTCAATCCACTGGATTTACACAATGCAAGAGATGACATCTCTCCACTACCACATCCCTTTATTTCTCTCTCCACCAAAACCATTCTCTGTGATCATACACACTCATTCATATACAAGAGAATTAGACAGCAAACTATACAGGCACCAATACTGGAGTTACATGGCTCACCTGCTGGAAGATTCTGCAGAACAATACAGGAAATACTCTCTCAGTTGCCCCAACACCCCCACCTAAAGAGCAAGGAAAGAAGAGATGAAATGTTCTTGATTCCCACAGCCTAATCAACTTCACTGAAAGAGCATCTTCCGACTGCCTCAATTAAAAGATTATAAGACAAAAAAGGATGTTATATGAAAACATGATCTCAAACCATATGGTCCAGAGCAAGAAAAGCATAGAAATCTAGAACACACAAAGCCCCATAGAAAATTAGTTGGCTGGTCACTGGAACTGCCATACTGGTCTGACCAGTGATACTGGTCTGACCAGTGGTCCACCTAATCAAGTATCCAGTCTCTGATAGTGGCTAGTACTGCTAAGATTAGCCATACCTGATGCACTAGGAATTACAAAAACTTTAGCTGCATACTTCCAGCTCCCCAAAAGCCACCTTGTTAGAGAGAGAGAGAGAGAGAGAGAGACCTAACTCATAGAACTGGAAGGGACCTTGAAGGTCATTGAGTCCAGTCTGCTGCCTTCACTAGCAGTACCAAGTACTGTCCCTGATAGTTCCCCCCATCCCTAAATGGCCCCCTCAAGGATTGAACTCACCACCCCGGGTTCAGCAGGCCAATGCTCAAACCACTGAGCTATCCCTCCCCCCCTTCCAGTTCTATAGGACAAAATCAAGGAGGCTAAAAGGAAATGAAGGCTAAACTTCTCAAGCATGGGCTCCTTCATTTGTGGAAACACCGAGGGTCCAATTTTCAGAGGTTAAACGTCAACTGGAACTGTGCATGCTCAGCACTCTGAAAACTCAGGCACCAGGTGTCTTAAGTTCAGCACCCAAATTAGGAGACACTTTTGAAAATGTTAGCCTATGTATTTAGAATCTGCCTCTATCAGTTAGTGTTCTTTGTAGTTTTCATTTAAAAAAGTGAATTTATTAAGATGCAAGTTTCAACATATGATGGCATTAGAGGCAAAAAAAAAGTGATTTAGAACTTTATATTCAGAACTTTAATTTGCTGTTCTGTTTTAGGTCTTGGCATATTAAAATCAGACAAACGGAAAGGAATTCGGACAACAGTCATAACTCAAAGAAAGACTGAAAGAGATAACTATATATGGTACAGTGTAGCATGGCTAACCATGGCAAGTATCTGAAGGGTGTAACATTTCAAGAAAGAGGAATAATTTACGGTTGCTACAACAAGGTTTAATTATGAGTTATAAAATTAAATTATGGAAACATTTACATGCCAGGAAAAGGTCTGATAGCAAGCATTAGACTGTTGCATAGCTTTCCCAAGGGAAATGGTGGAAGTTACTTCACATGTAACTGTTAAGAGACTAGGTAAAGTGCTAGAAAATGTACTGCAGAGAACAATTCTGCACTTGCATATGCATGGGCCAGTCGATGTAATCAGTATTTGCCATCTCTAATTTAGAAGACATTTTTAATCTTCAATTAAAGACATGAAGACTCTGGCGAGCTGATCTTAAGTAAAATACTTCTCATGTTCAAAGTCTGAAGTTAATTGAATTTGAGTAGAAAGAACATTGGGAAGTACCAAGCTATTACCTACATAATTAAAGGAAGGAGCTCCCCATCTTCAGCATGTACTTCCCTATGGGCTGTTTATACTCCATAATAAATGGCAATTTACTCACCCTATAAAAGTCTTGTCTGAAATCAGGCTTTTTTTTTTTTTTTTTTACGAGTCAGTCTCCTAAGACTCAGCAAAAGTAACTTCTAAGAGGTAAACTAGGTCTAAGACAAACATCGGGTTATGGCTCTATTTCAGACAGATGTGTAGATCAGCTTCCAAAGCACTCAGGCTCAAATCTTCAAAGGATTTAGGCACCTAACTCCCATTGCTGTCAACAGGAATTAGTTGCCTAAATACCTTTGAAGATCGGAGCCTCAGAGCAACACCACTTGTACTTCATCTAACCTACTCAAACCAACTTGCCCAAAAAGAAAATGTCTTGATTGTTGTCATAGTCAAGAATCAAACTGGTGCTGTGTATGACAGAATGCTTTACACATCTCAGCTTACATTTAGTAGGTCAGATTCACATTAGACAGAAAGACAAGGTCTAATCTAATGGACTTAGTTCCTGGATCACATCCTGTTCTATCAAGAGATAATCACACACGCTCTTTGTCTGAGGTCACAAGTTCCTTCTCTGTGCCTTTGTTATTTAATACCTCCCTCTGTAGGTGTTTTGAGGATTAATTAGAGTTTGTAAAAACCCTGTGAAGGTATAATCACCTAGTATTATGTTTAATAATTCAGTGAAAATTGTGCAGTCTCAAATTGGCAGAGTGAGGGAAGACAGGAATGGTCTCATAGTTCACACAAGTAGTGTGAACATATGATCCTGCCTCTGTGTTCAAACCTAGTAACTGAGGGTCTATATACCCTTTTATAAGGTGTATATACTTTGCTTGCATGGTTTTTGCAGGTGTACCCATTACATCAGCAGCTGAGAACTGGGCCCACACATTTTTATTATCTTTGATAACCTGGATATATGAGAGCAGGAAGTTTTCAGGGAAAAACGCATAGAGAGGGCATTGAAAATTAAAATACGGTGGAGGCACCACTCGTTAGGATATCGGAAAAACTTTGAGGCAAATTTCATCTTCTCTCATGGGTGTCAGTGATAGAAACATTACCACTGGAGATGATGACCCCCAGCAGACTCCATCCTCTGCTCTCTTGGGAGAGAAAAAGAAAGCATACGTTTTCAAATATTTTAAATAAGCTTCCTGTTTCCATGAATGTCTCGTATGATCTTGGACCATGTGAAACAAAGCATTACAGATTGGTGGTATAGAAAGATAAAAAAAGAGCTTAACTGTTATACACTTTTATATCTTTGCAGTACTCAGGGTCCCATTATATTTTGCACACATTTTACATATAATATTTGTATTATGCTATTATGCACTTTACAACGTAACAGGAACTCGTTTGTTTAGTACATTATACCCATTGTATATTGCCTGTATAGCACTACATTGTTTATTGCAGAAACACTATTCACAACTGTAAACGTACTCAGCATTTTACAAATACAGAACAAAAATACTACATAGTACCAATGAATTTATAATTTAAGTAATAACAAAAGAAGAGGCACTGATGAGACTGACCTGCGAAATTCAGTAGCAGTGCCAGGGTTTGGCATAGCCACTAAAGAAAAAATTACATCACAATCTACCACAGTCTCCTTCTCTGTGTGGGCTCATTGGGTACTCAGACTTGCTAAGTCTTACACACCTAGAGAAGGGAGACTCACTCATTCTGCATTAGTTTTATTAAGATTTTCAAAGCATCTCCCTTCTTTATGAAAATGGATTTTGATTCAGGTGTGTTTCAATTTGTTTGTTTTGTTTTGTGTTTTAACGTAAGTCTGGATCTAGCTGAATCCTGACAGATCCTGCAGCTTTTTGGCCACAAGTCCCATCAAACAGAGAACAAGTCTGGCTGTTCCTACTGCACCAAGAAACGCAAATCCCGACACATCCGAGAGTATAAGCACTGTAAGAACTTGGATCCATTACAAGAATCCAGCCAAGTTTTGGCCTCAGTTTCCTAAACAGACAAGTCTAACTGCTCTGAGTGCACTAAAATATTCTGTCTTTGTCATATCACAGTACATGAAACCCAGATCTAGCACCTGGAACCTACTGGAACTCTGCAAGTTTTGGCCCTCACTCCCCAAATTCCATTGCATGAACAGAAAAAAAGCGTAGCAGCTCCTACAGCACCAAAAAATTATAGACCCTAATGTGTCCCAAGCAATGCAAAAACCTGGATCCAGCAGGATCATAGCAATTTTTTGCCTTTTCCACATGGCAATTTTGAGTCTCAGATTGTAAAATCCAAATAGAAAACAAATGTAGCAGCTCCTACTTCAGTGGAAAAATCTGGACCCTAACATAAACCAACCCCAAACCTCTCACTTACATGAGGTATGCCATAGCAATTCACAGTCTTTTTAATATATGTATCCTTTGAACAACCTTGTGAGGTAGACAACTACACCTCTACCCCGATATAACACGAATTCGGATATAACGCGGTAAAGCAGTGCTCCGGGGGGGCAGGGCTGCGCACTCTGGCGGATCAAAGCAAGTTCGATATAACGCGGTTTCACCTATAATGCAATAAGATTTTTTGATTCCCGAAGACAGCGTTATATCGGGGTAAAGGTGTACTATTGTCCCCATTTTACTGAGGGGGAATTGAGGCACAGAGGGACAATAGCACTGGAGAAACATCTGTCAACTGGATCATGCCAATTTTCAACCCAACCTCCAAAAAACTGTCTAAATAGAGGAACAAGTGTAGCATCTCCTAATGCACCACTAAACCTAAATCAAGTTGCTATCTAGTGCAGCAGCACAAGAACACGTATCCAGCATCTGGATCCCATGGGATCCAGTTTGGGATTAAACAGACAAACAACATCAACAAAAACACAGACAACCAACTAATCCCAAAGCTCTACTGGCTAAATAGAGAAGAAATGCAGTTGCTCACATGTAATTGAAAATTTCAAATTGCAATGCATCACGTCTCAGTACACCACAAAGTAACATATCCAAACACCTGGAGCTGGTCAGGCTTCAAGTTCTCAAACTGTACCATCAAAGCAGACAACAACTGCTTCTACCAGAAAATAGCTATTTAACCAGAAAAATTCATCACAATCCAGTGCAAGAACACCACAAAAACACATATCTGGCACTTGGGTCTTATCAGACCCAGTTATGTTTTAGCCACAGATCTCTAGATTTTATTGCATAAATGGAGACAAAGTGTTTCTACTTCACCATAAAAATCTGGACCTGATACAGCCTGGCACCAGGGAAAAATCCAAGTAGATCAGGATCCAGCAGGTATTGATTATTTTTTTTCCACTTAGATCCTCAAAATGTAACCTTATAGATAGACCTTGTGTTGTGAACTCTCAAAATTCTATTGTGAATCTCATGCTATTTGGAGTTTTTCTTAAAGCCACAGTTCCTGGACCACCCTAAATACAACAGACTCAGGATTTTTTTTGTATGTTTTTTTTTAAATGTATAAAAAGTTAAATGCTGAAAAACACTGGTAAATGTGACCCTAACAGCTCAGAGAGAAAATAAAAAGAATTCAGAACTAAATTAAAAAAAAACCCTCCTGATTTTTCAAGCCAAAATTATGATTTTTAGGGGGCCTGAGTCCGGATTTTTGAATGTTTGGGGGTGGCAATTCTGAAGACAGCATGTGTCCTTTCATATCACATAAATCTATGTACACTGTATTTTAATGAAGCCACAATAAACAAAACTTAACCTCTTGACTTTTCTAGATACAGCCTAATTTTATACCAGACCATAGAAACGTGACCCATCTCATCTTACAAAAGTGGATGATCGCATTGTGTGGTTTTAGCCAATCTTGACTGAGATTTCCAAAACAGTCTAGAGGATTTAGAACTTCCATTAATTTTAAGCACATTTCAATGGAAGATGTGTGTTTAAATCCTTGAGACTGCTATATAAATCTCAGGGCACCATAGACTGGGGCTGGGGTGCATGCAGATTTTGCCAATCAAGTTGAGGCTGCTACAACAGCTTTCTATTTAGATTGTACATTTTGGAGTTTGTGGCTAAAGACAGTCAAGATCCAGCTGGATTCCAGTGCCACACCTGGATTTTTACGGCACTCATGCTCTGGGTTATAGGTAGGGTTGCCAAGTCCCTTATTACCAGGGATGTCCCTTATTTTTTCCATCTCTGTACAACAAGATCGGGAGTTGCTGAGTGCTGCAAAAAGCAGCAAGAAATACCTCTGGTGAATGTAGGTGAGTATTACTGCTTATGATGATGATGATGATAATAATATCAGGAGGATGGGTCTCTTATTTTAAGATACATTGCTGGCAACCCTATGTATCAGGATCTATTGGTTTTGGGTGCCATAAAGTAGCAAAATTTGTTTTGCCTTTTTGCATTAGAAATACAAGGCTGTACAAGCGCCAGGATCAAGGCTGTACCAGTGTCCGGATTTTTATGGTGAAGTAGGTACGCTTAGTCTCCATATATGCAATAAAATCTAGATGTCTATGGTTAAAACACTGCTGGATCTGACAAGACCCGGGCGCCAGGTATGTATTTTTGTGGTGTTCTAGCACTGGCCGGGAAGCAAATTATGTCTGGGTCCACGTGCCAGACTTAGGGTTTGACAACACCCATGCTCTCTGGGAGGGTTCGTTTTTCCCGATGCAGTGGGCGCGGCTAGTCTGGTTCTCCCGAGTGAAGGATCCATTTGGGACCCTACAGGATCCAACATGCACCTTTGCCTCCCTCCCACCCCCCAAAGCAACTCCCGCATCTACAGAATCGCGTCCCGGCTGAACACCCCCCATCTCAGCGCGCCCAGGCTGCCCTAGGCAGGCACCACTCGCAGGGCTGGAGGAAGAGGGGAAGGCACTCACCGCTCAGATAGTTGGTCCACTTGTATAGCACCCCCTCCATGGTGGCAAGGGCCCCCCCATCCAGCTCTGCTCGGGACAGGGGAACCCCCTGCCCGCCCCTGCCCTTTTAAGCCTTCAACCACCCCCTGCGCCCCACCGCAAAGCCACCGACACCCAGGGCCATCCTGGGGCTTGCTTCAGACAGACCCTCCCCGCCTCCTCTCGCACTACGCTTCTAGCACACAACCAAAGGCTTCCGCATCCCCCAGGTACCGCCTCACAGCCCCACGAGGAGGCGGGCTGTGTAAGCCGCCCCCGGCATAGCCACCACGTGACTAGCGTGTGCGGAGTCGGGAAGGGAGCAGATGGAACATCCAAAGCCGGTGGCTTCCGGGAACCAATAAGAATGCTGCTCCGGCAACAGCGCCACCCAATCGGAGGCGCAGGGGAGCCGATTCAATTGTGTAAGGATTCCAACAAGGCCGGACTGTGTACGAACGTTCTCTTCCGGGAGCACCAATGACTTTCTGCGAGCGTTGATCGGCGCCGGCTGTCCGTTGGGCGGGAGGGAAGACACACAGATCTGCGTCCCAATAGATGGCGACATTTTCTGGCCCGCCCCCTAGGGAGAACCAATCAGAGGGAGAGGAGCCCAGCTCCTGTGGGCAGGGGTCCGCTAGCTGAAGTTTTGAGCCTGGTTCGGGATGAGTTTGCCACGTCTGCGTGGTGCTGGGGAAGGACAGGAGGGAGGGATGAGCCGAGGGTGGATGCGGCTCCCTCCTCTTCCCCCAGCACCACCCACCTCTGCAGGGGGCTGGAGCCCCTGGGGAGCCCGAAGTCTGATTCAGTTACAGCGAAACCTGCCTTAAGTGCCCTGCAAAACTCAGCGCCTGGCCGCAGTCGTGTGCAAGTAAAGACCGAATCCTCTTGTGCTGACAATATCGGGGGCACTTTAAGGCGGCTGCGAAAGGCACTGAAAGTAACTGACCCAGGAGAAGGAGAGGTGAGGGTCCTTGCTCCAGGCTCCCAACTGTATAAAACTCCTTTACGCAGCCGTCATCCAGATTTTTTTTTCTTTATGAGAAAATATCCCTTGCTGTGACTCAAGGATGAGGGTTGCATTTTGGGCTCCCCTTTTCTGTGTGGTTGTTACCTGTGTGACTGGGGCTCTTATCCCAGAAGCAGAAGTGAAGATTGAGGTGCTCCAGAAGCCATTCATCTGTCAGAGGAAAACCAAATGGGGGGATATGATGTTGGTGCATTATGAAGGCTACTTGGAAAAAGATGGTTCAATGTTTCACTCCACGTAAGTAACTCTTTCAAGCATGTAAGATAAAGCGCTAGGTGCTGGCTTAAAGCTTTCGTTGGCAATTTTGGTGATCTGTAAAAAGAGATTAGATGTGTAGATAGTGATTGTCTAAGCTCCATTGCCCTAGGATATATGTGTAAAACAGCTAAACCCTATCAATATATCCATACCCCAATATATTCATTTTAACAATAAAGTGTCCCTAATTAATTCCCTCTCTTGCAATATAACTGATGGAATGTACTTGGTTTTTTTTGTCTTAAGGATGTGATCCGTGTTCCTCACCCTCACTTCCAATGAAGACCCAAAAATAAAACTACCCAAACATCCAAGTTGCTCCACACAGACAGACCCTCATGGAGCCCCTTGAAGGATAGGGGGCCCTAAGCAACGTTTTACAATTCAGATATTGGCCTCAATCTTGCAAATATACACATGATTAACTTTATGCTCATAAATATTCTTGAGTAGCTCAGTGGGGCTTCTCATGTGCAGAAAGGGACATCTGATTATAAAACAAGTTTCTGGAGGAGATCGGGCCAATCCAGAATCTGTCTCTAGGAAACTCTGCAGAACCTTTCACTTTAAAAAGTAATTTCCATTACAGGAAAAGTGATAATTGCAACATTGACACCTTCTATCTAAACATCACTCTTCTCCTCTCCCTCCCCGCCCAAATTCCCTAAAACAAATCAACCAAAAAAAAAAATCTACTATTTTTAAACAGACATTTTATCTCCAAAAGGGAGAAGAGCCAGAAATTCCATGAAGTCAGCTTCACTACAGATACTGAGTTTACATGAAAGTCAGATGCTATGGTGATGCGGAGCAATGAACATGCTTAAATATTTGCAGGCTAGGTCCAAAATATGTCTTTCTACAAGAGTCCAACTAGTACAGACTACTTGTTCTTTCTTTACAGATCAGTCTTAAGTAAAATCTCTCACCAAGTCGTAAATTCTGACCAATTATCTCTTAGATAGTCTTTTATGCTTCTTGTAAAGGAATTATATTTATGTTTGTCATTCTCTCTAACAAATTGTCCACTGATGACTAATTTCTGTATTTTTGAAGTGTCTTCTTTCAGTATCTGGTAAATACAGCTGGTCAGAAAAATCAGATAAAAACAAAATATCAATGAAAATGGTGACAAATTTTCACAATGTTTTCAACCAGCTATACTGGTTAAGAAACATTTTAACTGCACAGCTCTGAAGTGCTTAGATTTAAACTAAACAAGATTGGGCCTGGTCACTACTTGGATGGGAGACCTTGTAGAATACCTAAATGCTCCATAAAGTGGTTTTTGAGGCACTTTTTTTCTATTAGTACTACAACTAATAATATTCCATCATAGTACACAACAGTACTGAGCTGCTAGCAGTGACTTCTGAATGATACCTAAAGTAGAGGTCCTGAGTCTTGTAAGGTTTCAGAGTAGCAGCCGTGTTAGTCTGTATCCGCAAAAAGAAGAACAGTGGGCTGTAGTCCACGAAAGCTTATGCTCTAATAAATTTGTTAGTCTCTAAGGTGCCACAAGTCCTCCTGTTCTTCTTTTTGCTGAGTCTTGTAGTTGCTAAGGCCGCATTTCAGCAAAGTACTTAAGCATGTTCTTTATTTGAAATGTGCAAGTGTCCCATTCAGATCTAAATAAGCATTTGAACATGCACTTAAAGTTAAGCACATGTTAAGTCCCATGGAAGTCAGTGGGATTGAATTCAGTGCAATTGTATTGACTTAATTTTTTCTAAATGTGTTGTTAAATATGAGTGTGATTACTCACGTGGTTAGGAGCGTTGGATTGGTGCCTAGGAATCCTATGGTAAGCTGTACAGTAGTTATCGCCCTGGTATACTAGCCAAATTTCAGTTTGGAAGGGAGGGGTTACGTTCTACCTAGCTAAACTAAAATGTCTCCCTGTATCCATTTATTTCCTCTGTGCTAAACTTACACATCAGTTGTGTAGTGTTGTTGGTTCATAGTGGCTGCTGTGAGTTTCTACCTGACATGGTTATTTCAAAAGACAAACACAGTTAACAATTTAAAACATACTACATATTTTACAATCTACCGTCAAGGTTCAGAAACAAATCTCAGGCTTTATTGTCTACCAACTAATCAATGCAGCCATGGCTGTGTGTTCTTAAGCATATGATTCCATTTCTACAGTGATCAGATACACAAATTATTAGGTTTGCTGCTTCCAGTACAAAAAGAAAATGTGCTGGCTCTAGGCACCAACATCTTCATGTGTAGGGTGAGGTTTTATTTTTAATTTCACTGCTTTTTCCTATGTTTTAGATGTGCAAGGACTAGGTCTGCTGTCACTAAAGAGGTGCAAAGTTATTGTTTAGGGGTTCAGTGCTGTAACTCTGCAGTATGAGTCTGTTCAGCTTAGTATAATGGTTAATCTTCATGGACATACTAAACAATTTAAGGACTAAAATATTTTGTTCCATTTTTTTCAGCCACAAGCATAACAATGGTCAACCTATGTGGTTTACACTTGGCATAAAGGAAGCCATTAAAGGCTGGGACAAAGGTTTGAAAGATATGTGTGTGGGAGAAAAGCGGCAACTAACTATTCCTCCATCCCTTGCTTACGGAAAAGAAGGGAAAGGTAATACTTTTAAATCCTCCTCAAGCTCAACGCATTCCTAAACCTGTATTGTTACCTCTTTTGTCCTAAGTAGTTAACAGATTTTTGAGGTCTTGTAGGTTGTTTCCATTAGGAAGAGAAATTGATAGGAGTCAGACATTTCTTTGATGCAATCCTGCTTATTTACAAAGAATGTACATAAAGTCCTGTTTTCTTGAAAACAATAGGAATCAAGCAGCAGTAGATAAGTTTCTTTGTTCACAGTTCCAAGCCTCTTTCCAACCAGCACTCAACCAAAAACTCTCTCCCTTAGCTCTTTCTCAATGTCAAGTTCTTCTCTGTCTGGCTGTTGGCCTTCCTTGCTGCCTTCTCAGTATGCTTCTGTGGCACGTGGGCTGATACACACCTGGAATCACATCAGTCCTCTGCCCCTCTATTAGACCACTGGGAAATCCCAGCCATTTCCCAGGCTTGCATATGGTCTTGTATTTGGGTAGGGGTTTTCCATTGTTTCAGCTATTGCTAAACAAAGAGGCATTTAATTGTTCCATCATTTAGCCTGCCCTGAATGGAAGTCAGCTATTGCACTACTTCAACAAGGTGGTGTGACTGACCAGCCCCTAGCACAGCAGTATGTATATCCACTGTAAAGACTTGTCTCTTCGTTGTAGGATTGATTTATCAGAATTCATGGTGGTAATGTGGCTCTGCATCACTTTATCTAGCTTTAGCAGTGATTTTTCACTTTCCAAGATGGTAAAAATTTCCAGATGTCTCCTTGGGACAAGAGTCTCCAAACTGGAGATAGCTAGCTGTTGGGCTACAACAGTAAGTGATTTATAAAAAAATATTATTATTTGAACAGTTAATAGGGCTAAGTACTTGCATCATGGGGGTTGCCTGTGTCATGTGGATCTAAGGCAATGTGTGACCTTTAATGCAGATGGAGTAAGTATTCTCCTGAGGAAATTTAGCTCTTCTATTATGCCTTCTCATAATACAAAACTAGTTTAGGAATTGGGAATACTTGGCTCCATATACTGTGTGTATGTATTCTGGCAAAATTGGAGGAGCAAGAGATGGAGGGCAACTAAACACAGTTTTCCTTAAAATAAAACTTTCAATTATAGTTTTCTAGAAGCACTGTTTTTTGTCTTCCAGAAATGATGCAAGAAGCAAAGCAAGCTTTTAGTATGCAATTTAAATTAATGCACCCTGGCTAGTCTTTTTCCACCAGGACACCCATGGTGCCTAATTCTCTACTACCATGCCCAGGTGTAAATAACTACACAAAAAGCATGTCAAGTGCTACCATTTTCACTTGGTGCCACTTTATGCACACTTATTTAGCACAAGTGTAAATAATTACGATACAAGGCAGTGGCGAGCTAGCCCCCAGATTTCTAAGGAAGAATTGTTAATACACACAGTGTGACTTTGTTTTG